CAGTTAGAATTGCTTGTGTAAGTCTGAGCAGTCTACCTGCACTTCAGATTACCACGGGGAAGTTTGGACAGTTCCTATCATGGTCTATGAATGACTGAGTTGAGATTTCTGGCAGCATTATCTAACATCGATATTACAGTTAGCTAATTCTTTTTGATAGCTATCATAGAAAAAAAAAATGGAGTTTGTAGTTTTGTACCGTCTCCCATGTTATCCTGTGCTTCTTGACTCACTGCCTGCTCCTCCTGGCTTGGCTGCTGCGTGATGAAACCCCAGTGACTGAGCATTCTGTAGTTGGTCCTCAGTCTGTATGTGATGAACTGCATTGTTTCAAGACGGGACTGATAGCAGCTGAGATGAGCTTAAAACTTCAATTTCTCAATTTGTTTATTCTTTCAATTTTTATTTGGAATTTTATTTTGGTCCTATCTGTTGGCTCTCTGTGAGAGAATAGGATGTATCTGTCATTTCTGTGTTGATCAGATGACCTGGTTTCTGAACTGGAGCGTCAGACAATGTATCTTACTCTAACTGTAACTGCTGTTTCACAGTACCAAGCGTTTCCCTGGTTATGATTCTGAAAGCAAAGAATTCAATGCAGAGGTTCACCGCAAGCACATCATGGGCCAAAACGTTGCAGATTATATGCGTTACCTGATGGAGGAGGATGAAGAGGCTTACAAAAAACAGTTCTCCCTGTACATAAAGAACAATGTAACGCCTGATGCGGTAAGACTTGCTTGGCTGGCTCTCTTCCTTGTGCAGTAGTAGAGATGCTAACAAGGGTCTTGCTTAGGAACTTCTCTACTAATGCAAAATAGTACTGCAATTCAAGCAGTACACCTCCGTGCAAAGAAAATACGCTTCCCATCCATAAGGGTTCTGTAGCACGGGGCTCTGCAGACTAAGATTTTTTTTCCTGTTTTAAAACCTAACATTTTTTCCTACAAATCTGAGCTTACAGAATAGCACCCTAATGCAGGCCCTGTACTTTTTTTTTTTTTTGCTAATATGGAAACCAGCTCAAAAAGATTCTGTGCTTGCTGTCCCTTCATTCCTAATCCTGCACAATAGCCTGTTGATTCCTCAGCCATGGGAGCTTTAAGTGAGGACGTGTTCCACACTGGATTGGCTTTATGGGTTGCGGACCCTATAGGTAGCTGTAGGTATCAGGTAAATAGAAAAACTCCCAAGATTGTTCCCTTGCAGAAGCAGTTTTCTCAGAAACTATGTGCTGTGTACACTATACCTGATGCGAGTGCTGTGTTTAGTTTTTGAATAATTTGCATAGAACAGTTTCCAAAAGACATGTAATATGACCAACTTTCCCATTTCTCAGTGTAAAAGCAAACTTCTTTTAAATATTTTATCTTGTTGTCTGTAACACTCTGCATGATTTCCTGCATTAGCAGGCCTGAGGCTTGGAACAAGCATTCTTCTTATGTCTCTTTTTAGGCTGCAGAGAACTACTTTCCTGATCCCTTTATGGACTTTCTTTTTTTTTTTTAACCAAATGCTAATTAGTTGTAATTTTATCACTATTAAAAAGAAATAATTGTGAAAGACATGAAATTGGCATTTACTAAACAAACAATACTTAGCATATGTTTGGGGTCTATGTCAACAGCAAGAAACTTGCTATTACAATCTAGAGTAGCTGGGGTAGAGTGGTCTTAAGTAACTAGAAGCAAACCTTTAAGCCACAGCTCCCTCTGGGGCAGAGCAGCAGACAGACAGGGATCCTCTGCTAGGTTCTGCTGTTGATCTCTAACTGGAGAGACCACTTCCATTTTCCTAATGGAAGGGTTAAAATAATAGTTCCTAAGCATTATGACCTGCTGCCCAGGTTTTGACTGTGCTAGCACTATAGGAGCTGTTAAAAAGAACTTTTGAGCTCCTCTGCTTGAGCTCCTCCTCTGATGTATTTCTGTTGTTGCCACATGACTGCAGAAGATGCAGAGATTGTCCTGATTCTTGCAAGGCTCCTTCAAGTTGTAGCTGTTTCCAGAATTTCTTTGACTTTCTCCCTTTTAGGAATTCTGGAGCTGTGTCATATGCAGTAGTTACATACTAAGACTGCATATCTATAGACAGGGTGTGTGAAATGACTTTGCTTTAACATGAGTGGGGTTGACTCTTCAGAGATTAACTATATAACAAAGGAAAGATTTAAAATATTCTAAGCAGAATAACTTTCTTGCTGCCTTTAAATTTAAGTGTAGGAAAACAAAGGCACTGAAAACAGGCTTCAGAAGAAACATGATTTCAACTGCAAGATGCAGTTGATAAAGGCATCTAGTTTCTTGCTACACTCCTGTAACTAGACTGCTGTGAAAATTTAGTTGCTCTGTTTGTTTTAGATGGAAGAAATGTATAAAAAGGCCCATGCTGCTATCCGGGATAATCCAGTCCATGAAAAGAAACCCAAGAGAGAAGTCAAGAAAAAGAGGTAAAATTGTCTCTTTTAATAGAAGTAGGCATTCTCTGAAGTCTTGAATGCAGTGTGAATGATTTATCTTAACTTGCCTAAACGTGTGTTTCAGAACAGGTTAATTAAGTGTCAGTGAACTTCAGCAGTGAGAATCTAAAATCTAAAAGCCTTTATCCTGAAAACAAGAGGAAAAAATAAGCCTGATAACATTAGTTATTCATTATTTGAAGCATATATTTTTAGATCTTATTTTTTTTCTGGGGAAATCTGCCTCTTCAGGAGAGGCAGGGTGACTGGTTAGGGTAGATTTTACCTCTTGAGCAATTACTGCAGACCAAATACCGCTTATTGTAACACAGTTATTACCTTAAATCAAGTATGTTGTAGAAAGAAGGAATATGTTAAGATAATATTCTCAATCACAGTCCTGGTATACTGCTTTTTTGGCAGTTCTTGTGCTTGTTTCTACTTTACATATCTTCCCCTGTACTTGCATTGCAGATGGAACTGTTCCAAGATGTCCCTTGCTCAGAAGAAAGATCGTGTTGCTCAGAAGAAGGCTAGCTTCCTCCGAGCCCAGGAGCATGCAGCTGACAGTTAAGATAACTTCACGATTTTCTAACAAGCTTTGAAAAAAGTGACAATAAATTTATTGAAAAAGCAACTGTGTAAGATTGGCTTATTAATAACTCAAAAGCTTTTTGTATGTTTACAAGACTGGAAAAAAAAACAGCAAAAGAATAATCAAGTACTCTATGGAATCAGCTGCTGCTGCACAAAAGAGAAGACAGGCAAAGACTCTAAAACAAAGGCTGTCACATTAGGATTTTATTCCCCTAACAAGGGGAAATCAATGTGGTTAATTTTCAGTGTGACTAATCAAAACATCTCTATGCAAGAACTTGCTCTTTCTAGCTACAAAGTAGACTTCTAATTTGACTTGCCCTTAGCCCTTGTTTATTCCCCACTTCCTTTTCACAGATGCATGACCTTTAAGTCTAAGGGGAAATAAAGGTGTTTGCACCCTTACAGCAGGTGTCAAGTAGGCTACAGAGATAGAGGTGTTATAATACTGATAGGTGGGGTAAGTACTGCTACTGAAAGAGAAAGGATGCTTTTGATTTATTGTAAACAAAAGTATTTTCAATGAAAGTCTTGATTCAACAGCAATAAAAACAAAGGTTCTATACAAACTGCATTATTAAACATGTTTTCCAGTTATTCCAAGAAGCCATTTAAAATACCCATCAGTCTTTTGATTTTTTTTCTGCCCCACAGAGTAAGAATTACATTCATATTTTTCACCAAGAAAATTAACACTTAAGTTCTTCGCTGGTTACAAATAATTGTTATTTCCTAGGTGGAGGACATTAAGTTAGAGACAATAGTTAACAACATTTAAGAATTATTAAAAAGTTCATGTTTACAAAACAGCAAAACTTAACCCCAGCTGCTTCCTATTACATGTGATACAGCAAAACATCATTACTGATGTTGATTTTATACTCAACTTTAATCATTGAAGGAATGCATTTAATACAGAACATCCAAAGTAATTAAAAAGGAAACCCTTTCCTATATTAAAAGCTTGTTCTTCTTACCTCTGTTAAAGATGAATTAAGGGGTCAGATGTATAGACGTACATGGGTGACTGCCTCATGAAAAATCACTAAGGATTTAAGTACTTCATCCCAAAGCATTTATAAACTAAACATTAACAGATAATTGAGCATAGTACTTCATGCACATCCAGTTCTACACAACTGTGAAGATAAATGTAAATCAGCAGATTTACAAGTTACACAGTGATTGTGCCCTGTGGAATGCCAGATAGAAATTGCTGATTTACTCATGACTTAAAACCTAGTGACTCCTCTCCTCCTAGAAAAGAGAGCAGTAACAGGCTGCAGAGGGTATTTTTGCTTTACACTGTATGTAATTCCTAGCTGTTGTTATCACAATTAGGCCCCCGTTTAGTTTAAGCAATAGGATCTTGAACAATCCAACTTCTGTCCTACAGTTCTGGGCTAGCTCTGGCTTAGATGGTTGCTGCAGTTGATGAAGACTTAAGTACAAAGCTGTAGCTCAATTTATATTGGTACTAAAGAATCAGGACTATCCAGAGCCATAGTTTGTTATGCACTGGATTCCAACTATGGAAGTTTCTTAACATTCCACTATCAATATTAAAAAGTTAATTAGCTCTCATTTTCATTATTATTTAATAATAATGAAAGGTAATAATAATAATAATAATGAAAGGTAAGTCCACAAACCCAACTTGGCAAGATCTTCTACAGCTTATCCTGGGTTAAAGGTGTTGACTGAAGCACAATTGTCTGCTTTAAACATATGTGTATTACTACTAGAGTATCTACATCCTTTTAAGAACTAGCATTTTAAAAATCTTGGCTCCCAACATGGTGCATGATATCAGAACTTTTAAATTAAACATTCAAGATGTAAGATGAGGTAACAAAGTGTAAACAGAATCTAACCACAAGTCTCATTAAAACCTGGAGGTTCTGGAATAAAACTTGCAATTTTCCAGCCATTTAAAAAAAAAAATTACCTATTAATGTGCAAATTCTGCCATGCCAAGGTACTGGTAAACCTCAACCTCAGTTCAGTTCATTCATGACAGCAGCTTGGATGCAGCCACATCGGTTGCAGTAGTGGTGGGTCTTTATAAAACTACCTGTGATAGTTCTAGTATTTTGCAAGTTAGCGATGATTTTCACAGAACTGTAAGATGTTATGTTAGTCAATGTGGTGGCACAGTGATTACTTTGATCCTGTTCAAGATCTGACAAAGTGCACAGAACAGTCAAGCATGCAGAGTTGTTTCTATGTCCGTAACACAGCACTGGAGCACCAGAAGGGGCTCGTGGCCTCTACCAGATCATTCAGTGTATGTTCATTCTTCAAGAAGCCCTGTGACAGGGCACTGACTGAAGACAGGAGTTAGAGGCATTAGTGAAATCCAAAGAAAAGTGTCGTTTAAAAAAAAAAAATGCTGCAGAGGAGGCAGGCCACCTCTTGTGGGCAGGAAAACTAAGAGTCATTTGTATGGGAAATTTTTTTCCACAGTAAAGTTTTTAAATTATTTAGTATTAAAGAATGCTCCATTTCCATCTGACTTGCTGTGACTTTAAGGGCAATACACAAGTACAGTTGTTTTTCTAGCTCTTCATGGATATCTGAAGGAGCCCCCCGAAGCAAATAGTCTTTCAGTAACTGACAGACTTTGGCCAAGTTTGGCTGAATGACTTCTGTGGTACATCTCATTTTACTTTGGTCACACAGAGTTCTACAGTCTGTACCATAAACACAGTCCAAGTCTGAGTTACACTGACGATCTTTAATTATTTCTTTCAGATTCATTTCTGGCACAATTTTTCTCATGTCCATCATTTTCAAATCATATTTCTCATTATATCCCAAATTTTTGGCACTTGTATCACACATAAGAAAATTCCCATAAGGTCCATGGAAAATATCTTCCACAAATTCTAAAAGCCCTATAGCTATTTTTGCTTTTCTTGGCCATGATGGAGTAAACCATTGGTCCATGCTTCTTCTGAAGCCAGAGGGAATGAAAAGTTCTATGATCCATGGAAGGCTAATTCCATAAAGGGAAGTATATTCAACTCTTTCCATCACATAGAGATCCCCACAGAAACCCATCAGTTTGGGAGTGTGTTCTTTATCCTGCAAGATGACCATTAATAGAAATTCTTCTAGCTGCAAAAGTGCCCATGCAGACTTTGCCTCGGGCAGAGAAACTCTTCCATCCTTGTTTCCATCAGCAAAAGATAGGATGAGATTAACCAGCTCTGAAAGATTTCCTTGTTCACCCAATTTTGCCTAAAAAAAAAAAAGAAAATGATTAAGTATAATTTCATTATCTGCCACTCATCCAACTGTAGTTCTCCTTCCTGCCATTCTCTTTCCATGGCTAATACCCTAGGCTCTGCTGTCCTCTGATTTCCATGATTATAGATGTTACTAGATGATTATACAACTTGCTACCAGATCTATTCCTACTAGCTCAGTTACCATAATAATTCTTCCTGAACAAAAACAGATTAGTTAAGAAATTGTTTTAAATGTGCTTTGAACAAAGCCCTGGAATCTGGTTAAAAAAATACTTAACAAGCAGATATGTTATTTTTCTAAGCTGTATTTTCTAAACAAATTAAGGTTTTAGACTTGTAAGATGCACGCTAGCTTCCATTGATAAGAGAAGGCTAAAGAAGCACAGTACTCATCATTACTTCAGACTTCAAAGCATCTCTGGGACAAACTTTTTTTGTGCTCATCTTTCGAACTTAACTCAAAGAACAAAGTTTACATAACAGAGCTTTCTCACCAACTATAGAGAAATAAGCCCTTATCAAAATAGAATAAATAGCCATCTACTCACTTTAAAAAGACCATGTACCATTTCTTTGAATTTCTGAACAGTGGTTCCTCTAGTCGGTTTATCAAACAGGACTGTTTCTTTTCTTGGTTCTGGATCACTACCAAAATCAAGTTGCGTAGCTTCTTCCATCTGGCATTTGATAACACCTTGCAGATTTCCCCAGATTCCTAAATACATCTATGTCGGAAAAGTTGGGGAAAATACACACACACACACACACACATATATATATAAATAAAATTATTCAAGTCCTTCATCTAAAGATCAGCTGTGCTCTAAATTCTGCTTTAAAAGTCAAGTAGCAACAAAAAGCAGAAAGCAGAGTGCTTATGGACAGTGTACAGGGCCAACATTCAAACAGTGGCAAATTCAGGTACACGTACACTACTGCAAGCACTTAGGAGAGACTATGCAGTCCAGGTGTGAAGATAGGGAGATAAGCAATATACTGGGATTAGTACCATCGTCACAAAAGTGTTGAGAAGCTTCTGCTAGGCAAGCATGACAGCATAGGTATTATGCAGTACTGGAGTATTCTGTCAAAATGTGAAAGGATCTGGTCATCTCCTTGGAAACTGAATTCTATAACTGAATTCACAGTTCACAGCAATTGCAGGTTTACAGTACTTTTAAAATCCAGAAGGATTCAGTCAGAGGCATACTCCTTCATTTAATCCTCATTTAATCTTTAATCTCAAATGCTTATCTTTCTGCACATATTCATGAAGACATACTCACAGAAACAGAATGACTGAAATCTGTAAGCTTTGGCTTGAAATTGTTAAGCGTTAGGCAGCTACAGCAGCTTGATAGATGCCACTATTTGCTGCATCAGAAACTTCCTCCATCTTAATACTTCACAAGCCCAAGAAAACCTACAACACTTGCTGAGTTAGATCAGTTCACCCAAATGCTAGAGACTTGGGCCAGGAGAGCTGAACCTGCGTGGCAGGAACTACATAAACCACTGTCACCACCCAAGTGCTTTGGAGGACCCCCCAGCACAGCAGCCCCCAATCAATAAAGCCTGATAATGCTGAAGACCCAAGTGTGTAAGAAAAGCAGAACAACATTGCTCCTCTTGACATGATTCTTGCGTAGCTCAGCTGAAGGAGAGAAGGGAAAAAATATACACATGGGCAGGCTCTGGCCTTCAGCCTCTCCCACGGATATTCTGCTTCCTCTTAAAGCCAGGAGATGCCGGGACCCAACAGACAGCTGCTGCCAGATGAGTTTTGCTCCACGGCTTTCTCGAGGCTATAGGTTTAGAAGGAGGGAAGATGCCCTAGAGTGGGTAGATTACTAGAATGAGAAGAGGGTTTTACATGGTTAAATGGATGCACAAAGACGGTATAAAGCCTGCTTGATACTCTAGAAAACAGTATTTCAGTGAGCAAAACTAGAGCTAGGTTAGATGTGTAAAGTCTCACCTGGTTATTAGGCTTTGTTGACAAACACTTCCCAAAATACAATGATTCTTTTGCACACAGACTGCTACATGCTGACCCATCAATAACTCCAGTCCTGTATTTATCACACTGAAACAACCAAGGAGAAAAATATTTAATAAAATCACTGAAGAACCAAAGGGCAACAATCACATCTCTCCCAACACCTGGATCATGAAGAGAGAGAGAAAAAAAAAAAAAAGAAAGAAAGAAAAACCCTATCCCCAACACTTAAGAAATACACCTTTATAGTGTAAAACAAAAGATATAATCTTATTTTAGCATGACAGAATAGTATCATTTGGTTAATTCCACAGTCAGTTCAATCAGTGCCACATGTAAATTAATTGGGACAAATACTTGAGAAGCAAACAATGCTAAATATACTTACTATTATTTTCCTACAGTCATGTCCTCTGCATAGCTCTGTGTAGGTGGAATACTGAACATACATAATCCAGCTGCCAATGAAAACTACTAACCAAGAGATAAAGAGATACTTCATTCTCATATACGAGAAACGTGCCTAGAGGACATAAAAAGGAAATATTTTCCATTATCCATTCAGCAGTAGTCATAATGGTAGAAAAGTAACATATTTCCTATTCCATCTTTAAGAATTTGACTTCTAAACTGATACAATAAACAGACTGCAGTACATAGAGCATTTGCTTCCATGACCAAACAGGACTGACAGGGTAGGCAAGGTCAATTTATTTGGTTGGAAGAAAAGTAAAAGTATAAATAGAAGAAAGAAGATGACAGGCCATCCTAGGACAAGCCAGGCTTTAAGAGCCAGTTTGATAAGAAAGAGAAAAGGACAGATCCACTATTTTCATTTTCCTCTCACTAAGAGCAGCACCCCTGTGCTGCTTCTGGCAAACCAAATCCAGCAGAACAAGATTCTGGTCAAACAACAACCTGTGTTCAAGTGAAAATATGCAATTTTTATACGCAGTGAGCAGGGTGAATATCAAGGAAAGGTTTCATATGCTGATGTCCCCCACTCCTTCCTTGAAACATCACCACTTCCTTTTGTGAGTAAATTTGCTCTGTACTAACCTCAGCTCCAGTCTTGTCCGTAACTGTGTAAGAGACTTACATGCTTTTCAGTGACCTCCCTTTTACCTTCCCTCCCCACTGCTCCAGCCCCAACTGGAGGGAAAAAGTATATATTTATAAATTAGGAATTGATGAAGGAAGAAGAAAGAGCACCAAGTGCCTGGAAAGCAAGGAAGCAGAGAGTGATCCTTTTTTTTTCCCTCTCACAGATCCAGCATGCTAGCACTTTGATTTTGATACAGCCATCAGGGTTAGAAGGTAATTAAGAAATCTACCGGTTGTACTGGGTTAAACGCAAGATCTATTTCTACCAGTCTCCTGATCTCTACCAGTGGCGAGAGGTAGATGCCTAGGGAAAAGTGAGAAGATACCATATATCTCAAATGCTCTCACATTTTCCTTTTGAGTGACTTCCTAAGACAGACATGATTTATATATTTACTAAACAGCACCTGACTTGTCTTTTACGATTTTATCCATATTTCCTTAGAATTCATGCAAATTTTTAACATTCACAACACCTTGTTGAATTAATTCCACAAGTCTACAGTCAGCTACATTGGGAATAGGTAGACAGTCAAATCCAGTTCTTAGCTTTATTTTATGCCCTTAGGTCACATACTGAAGGACAATTATCAGTGTCCAGCAATACCTGCCATGGCTTTGTAGGCCTCTATCACATGCCCCGCTGTGGCGTCAGACTTTTTCCAAACCGAGAAGTCCTTCCCTAAGCGCTCCTCATGGGGCAGCCCATGTCTTTGGAAAAGGTTGAGAACGGCCGTCCCCAGGAGCAGTTTTTGCCGTCCCCATCACAAACAGACCTGCCAACCCAACGTGCCCCGTGCGCGGGTGGCAGATGGCGCCACCTGCAGAGGGAAAGGGCACTGACTGCTGAATCACCACAACTCACAGCAACGGACGCGGGCGACACTGACTGCAGCGTATTGCTTCGCCTCTTACACGTTTTTATAAAATATTATATTCCTGAAGAACACAAAGCTAGGAAGATGATTATTTCAGAACACACAGACACCCTTTGCTTAGAGTTTTAGATTTCATAAGAGCACGCTGACAAGCCGTTTCAGTGTGGAAGCAGGCCCAGCCACTGCCTGTCTGCGGCTGTGGTACTGAGGCGAGCGGGAGCTGCCCCAGCACAACGCTCGTGCAGAGCACGGACGCGCAGTGGATGCCACCTGTCCCAGCCTTGCACACTCACTTGTCTACTTTGATCGTCTCAGAACTTCCCCCGCTTCAAGGACGGTTCCCCTGCCTTTGAGCAAATACTCTAGTTACAATCCAGCACCTGGAGACTTAAGATGGCGACCCCCTCCCAACCATACACGAAGCTGTAGCTGCTTCAGCCGAAGCATCTAGTCACACAGCACAGGAACTTCACCGAGAGGCAAACAGCTGTGGGCAGAAACTCTCCAGTGTTATGCTTTAAAATATTCTGCTTTTGAAAAGCAGAACTGAAACAGGATAACATTGCTATGGCTGCATTTCTACCATAAAAGTTCTGAGCACCATACAAGTTGTTTGGCCCTGGTTCTTTACAGCTCTGCACTGAAGCCTGTTGTCATCTCAACAGGCTCAACAGGGTGAACATCTTGATAGGGTGAAGCCCTCAGCTACAGAGCAGATATTGCTGTAGCTTCCACCTCAGTTTAATTATTTTACTTTGGAGCAAGGTCTGGTAAGGACCAGGCAACCTCACATGCCTTCTCTCATAAGAATTTTCAGTCTTTTTTTTTCCTCCAACAAAGAGTATGATTTGCCAGAAATGACCATGGTCTGAAGCATGTGCCACAGTTTCATTCTCAACACTTTGCAAAAATAAGCCACAGAACAGATTCCATTAGTGTCAGGTTTTAGGTTATGTTCAGCATCAGAATTTATTTGGCACTGAACAACAACACTTCTTTGAGGGTTTGCTACCTTGCAGGATCCCAAATCTGGACCACTTCTTCCAGCACACACTCTCAGTTTCAAAGAAAGTTAAGAACTTGTTTTGTTATCCATTCTTGTTCAAGGGTAGTATTTTGGGTATCACTAGTAGTCGGCAGGTTTCAGTAATTCAAGCAACACCTGCAAGACAGAAACTTATAAAACTTTAGAAAAATATATTTACAGGTATTAAATGAAACTGTATGAAGCGGTATTTTTCATGACTACAGCTACAGAGAGCAGCATGGTTTTTGGGCAGAGTTTGAATAGGAAAAAATTCTTTTCCCAAATTGATTTTTTAGTTTTTAGAAGTGATTCTTTCATAACTATCTAATTACCCAGTCTTTATTAGAATATTGCAGAACATCTACAGGGAGAACTAAAAGTGGTGCTATCTTATCCTCATTATGGCAGACAGTTCTGCAAATTGCCTTACTGAAGCCTATCACAAGGCTCTTCTCTTCAGAATGTGTCTATTAATAGAATTACTAAAAATCCCAATAAATTCACTGTCTGAAATGTTTTTCCACACACACAAAGGCAGTTACTACAGATCAGCAACCATAGCAAGTAAATACTAACGCTTATCTTTCCTCTATTTGAGAGATAAAATACTTTTTAGAGACAGAGCTAATTTCTGTTAACTGTTTTAAATAACCCCAATATTGCATAACATTAATAGCCTTAGTACAGCACTCAAAACTACTAGCAAACGCTGAGAAAAATCAACTGAAATAAATTTCCTGTCTTTACACAAAGATGCTTTTACTTGTGTAAAAAAAAAAAAAAAAAAAAAACACTACTTGGGAACTAGAGCTTATGAGGACAAAACACTCGAGAGTTTCTTGTCCATTTGCCCCATGCACCTTTCTTTAAGCCACCACACCAATCTTTAAGCCAAAGTGCACAAATACACCACTTAATAAAACTTCACGGGGACTACAAGGAGTCTGCAAACCTCCAAACCACTGCTGAAGGTTGACTATATCCATAATATGGGAAGTACACTGTATCTCTGCTTTATCCAGAATTTATCCAAATTTGTCCTCCTTCTCAGACAGGAGGAGAATGTGTTTAGGACAGAAAATCCTGCCCAAATGGCATTCAACTGCATCATACAATTGGCAGGAAGTTCTGCAGAAGCTGGGTTTATTTTGGGCTCAATGCTGTGCCAATGCAGTCACACAGCTTTTGACTCAAGATACATATGTCCTGCTGCTTCAGAACATGGACAAGAGCACATGTCTGCTCACAGAAGACCACAGGGTTCTACTTGCTTTGAATTAAAGGGGAATTTATTTAAATAAGGTCTTATCACATGTAGCAAGAGACTTGACCATTTGTTTTCTTCCCATACATTTTCTCTACCGAATTCCAGCTTCCTCCCCAAAAATCAGGCTGCGAACATAGACACACTCACTCTACTTCATCTAAGAAGTGTCAAAACTGCTGTGCATGTGCTGTACCAATGCAGATTTACTGAGTCTGGTTTGGCCATTTGTGGCAAGTAATACAACCCCAATACTCTGGACTTAGTGCACGTGTTTGAGATCGTCTGAACACATGAGCAAGAAGGCCCAGACACGGACCAGGGAACACCACCACTAACCAAACTTCACCTGGAATCATGACAAACTTCCAGGAAGTTTTGAATAACACTTAGAGCTACAGAAGGACCAGGAGCTCTGAGGCCATCAAGCAGGAAGTGCTCAGAAGCAGGAAACACAGCAGCTCTCCTCTGCTCCATGCTTCCATCAGGACTCCTGAATATAAGCCAGGGAAAAGAAGGATGAAGGAAAGCACTTGTGATGTTTTAGAGGATATTACAGACTCAGCACCTCCCATCACTCATATTTTACTGTCACATGCATTTAAAAATAATTAGACATTTATCCCTTGGAACAGAACTGGAAAACCACTGCTAGCAAAATTCAAGCCTGGATACACTCCAAAGAATGTGGGGAGTAGCAGATCAAAATGCTGCATAGCTGCATGCCAGCTTTTTGATGAGTGTGCTTTTTATTTTAAATCTTTTTTATGGTTAAAGAGTATGAAAGTGTTTCTTTGTTTAATACTACAGTTTAATTCCACAAACTATTCCACATAACTATATTCCCCTAATCCTTCCCAAATCTGTGAGCTGTTCACACTGTTTTAGATGCTAGCAAGTGGAAAAGTGCCCATAAAGTTTCTACACCGATCATGATGGAAATCCTCTTTTGTTCTCTTTCAGGTTGACTTATAGATCACTTCAAGAAGGCTGGTGTGAATTCTGGGCATATTAACCGATACTGCTTTGCATGTCACATCCCGGACACATTTGTATTTTCAGAGCACACAGCACACACTTAAAGATTATACTATTATGTCCTGAATTGTTTCTATCCCAACCAATCAGACTTAGGGAACAGAGTCTGGGATCTCTCTTGAAATAAAATAGGATAATGCTAGAGATAGAAACCCAGATGTTTCCCCTTCAGAAGATAAAACAAAAGAATAGAGGATTAAAAGCTTATAGGAAAGAGCTTATATAGTATATTTCCATTATCTGGGGCTTTACAGCTTGTTTATTCTTAGCCTTTCAAAGATGATGTATCACACATTGCTGAAGCGCATGGGACTTCCCCAAAGAGCCTGAACTTGACTGAAATTCTCTAGGGGACAGAGCTGCCAAGCACAGGGAGAGCAGAGACCTGGGACTGTGTAGGGGAATCTTCTTTACCACCCTTCACGAGCCTGCTGGCTCATCCTCAAAGCACAACTGCTAACTAGAGCCAGCAACTGCACCAGTAACCAGCTGCTCTTAAGAAAAAAAACAGGCCAGCATCTCCCAAAAGTGGGATGCTCTTTCTCCTCCTTGCAAAAGCATATATCAGTCACAACTGTTAATTCAGCGTTAATCACCCAAATGTATATCCAACACATGATTATTATTTTAATCAGTGTTACTTAGTAGTGTTAGAAGCTTGTTCAGTTTTTTTTTTTCTGTAGTTTAAATATTACATGATTTCCAGTCCAAGTAACATGAAAAGTTTTTTTAATTATTATTTCAGAGTCACTGTTTTGAGACACAGCTTCATCAGTGTTTCCATGGATCCTCAACCACTAGGTTTGGGCTCAGGAAAGATGCCTAAGGCTTTGTACTAATCTTTTTACATGAGCTGCAGATACTTGACATCACATTGCCCTTAGCCAGGAAAATCAACAGATTAGCTATGGATCTTGCTTTCTGCATGCAAGCTAAAGAATGCTAAAATAAATGAATAACAGAACATTTGGCATGGCACACTAGTTGCAAACCCACTCATAGCCTCTTGCTCCTATTTCAACAAGATAGCTAGAAGAGGCATTAAGGCCTGTATTACCAAAAACCTGGGAGTTCATATCACAGCTTTTTTTCATACCAGAAAGTCTGACACCCAAGCCAGTAAAATTTGTAAAGTTACTCAGCAATAACAGTCTTTCCCAGTGCGTTAGCCTAACAATATTATGCAAATTTTAGAACTTGCAGCTTATTCGTAGCTCCATCTCAGTAAGTTGAAGTCTAGCATTCAGAAAACATTGGACTTTTGGAAAAGAGTTGCAGAGTGCTCTGACTGCTATCAGCAGAATTAGACCTTGAATACTTCTATAGTGTAGAGACAGTAATGTGTAGTGACAAGTAAAGCCAATATATCGATAGCTTACTGCCATTCTATGGATACACCAAATAGCAACATGCATTCACTAGCTGACACAGAAAGATAAACTGATGTTCGCAAGGCTTT